GGGGGGGGGGGGGGGGGGAGGGTGCCCGGCACGCAAACACGCGAACACGTGAAACCTGACACATGAACCAGGCTGCAAGCAGAGAGTCGATGGGGAGGACGCTGCTTGCCTCGGTGCATGGCGTCGCGATGTGGCTGGGCGGCTTGCCCAGAGACGAGCGGCGACGAGCCCCGCGAGCGGCGGGTTGCAGGGCTCACCCGAGCGAGGGGTTGAGCGTGCTGGTGAAGTTGTTGTTGGCCACGTTGAGGCGGGCCAGCTGCGGCAGGAAGAACATGCCGCGGCCGATCGGGCCGGACAGGCCGTTGCCTGAGATGTCGAGGTCCGTCATGTAGATCATCAGGCTGATGCGGTCGTCCAGCTGCCCGACGAGTCTGTGAGTGTGTGTGAGAGAGAAAGAGTGTGTGTGTGAGTACGTGCGTGCGTGCGTGCGTGTGTGTGTGTGTGTGTGTGTGTGTGTGTGTGTGTGTGTGCATGTGTGTGTTGGAGGCCAGGTGCAGCAAGGGCAAGGATCGCAACGGCAGAATTACTGGGGTTGGAGGCCGAGGGGCGTCGGGGGCTGCGCACACAAGAGCCCCTTCCCTATGTGCGTGGCGCGGCGTCGGCCGCGCCAGGCGGCGCGGCGCCCGCAGACCTGTTGCTCGACACATCCAGGTATGTGAGCAGCTGCAGGTGGTAGATCGGGTCCGGCAGCTCCCCCGTGAATTGGTTGTGGCCCAGCTTCATTGACACTATCTGGTTCCAGGCCTGCAGGGGCCAAGGGGCAAGCGGTGAGGAGCGCAGGGCGAGGGGGTGGGGGGGCCGCACGGCAGCTGCTGCGGGGGCCCGCGCGAGCATTGGCTGGAGCGGGGTTCAGCCGGCACCTCGCCAAGCAGGCAGCACGTGGGGGGCAACGGCCAGGCGCGCGGCTTGGAGGCCGGCGCCCGCAGGCGCACCCGTGTTGCGGGCAGGCTGCCTGTGAGGTTATTGAAGGAGAGGTCCAGGAGGGCCAGCTGACTGCAGTTGAGCACCGGCGTGGCGGGGCCCTTCAGACGGTTGCCGTGGAGGTTAAGCACCGTCAGGCCCGAGTCTTGGTCGCATATGTCCACGGGGATCGTACCCGTCAGTGTGTTCATCTGCAACAGGGAGAGGCGGTCGAGGGGTGGGTGAGGGGGGTTGTTTAAAGGGTACAAAGTGAGGCAGGGGCGGCAGCGGTTGAGGGGATGCGAAGGGTTTAAGGCAGGGGGGGCGGAGCTGAGGTCCAGCACATGAGGAGATGGCCAAGCAGCAGCAGCAGCAGCAGCAGCAGCAGCAGCAGCAGGAGCAGCAGCAGCAGCAGCAGCAGCAGCAGCAGCAGCAGCAGCAGCAGCAGCAGCAGCGGCGCCGGCGGCGCCAGCGGTCGCAACTGCGCCGGCTGCGACCTCTGATCCCGATTCCATCATCAGCAGGCGGCTGCCCCATTGCCCACCTGGACATCCAGCTCCAGCAGGTTCTTCAAGTTTGAAATGCTGGCGGGAATCTGCCCCACCATCCCGGTCTTCTCCCCGGCATGTTCATCCCCGCCGCCGCTCTGTGCCTCGCCGCCCGCCGCCTCGCCGCCCGCCGTCTCGCCGCCGCCGCCGGCTGGCGGGTTGACGCCCGCGTTGGCGCCGAGGTTGAGCACTCGCAGCTCCTTGAGTTCGCCGATCCAGTCGCCAATTTCTCCATGCAGGAAATTGGTGCCGAGCTCCAGCTTCCGCAGCTTCTTGAGGTTTGCAAGCTCAGGGGGCACCGTGCCGCTCAGCCAGTTGTTGGCTGTGGGGCGACAGATTTGGGCGCAGCGGCGGGGGCGTGGCTTGGTGGGCGGCGCTGCCGGCTGCCTTGTTTTGCGAGGCTTGGCCTGGCCCAGCCTGACCCCAAACAATTTGAGCGTCCAGGACAAAGCCTCACCCCTGGCCAAATTTGGCGGGGTAGCCATGTCATCAGCCAGCCGCCCACGTACCCCACCCCCTAGATAGCTCACCGACCCACGCCGCCAGCCACCCACCCAGCCGCCTTGTCATCGACCCGTCCGCCTTGTCGCCCAACCACCCAGCAAGCCACCCAGCCACGCAAGCGCCCCGTCTGGCCAACACCACTCACCGAGGTCCAGGATGGTGAGGTTGGTGAAGCGCCCCCAGCGCGCATCCATGACGCCGCTCATGTCGTTCGACTCGAGATTCAGCCCCACCATGCCGCAGGCGTGCAGCTGCTCCGTCGCGTCCATCAGCGACGGGTTGGAGAAGCTACCGTTGACGTTGTCCGCGGTGATCGACAGATTGGCCATGCCGTTGACGGCCCAACACTCGCCCGCTGCGAACGCCGTGGGGTCGCAGCAGGTGATGCCCCACCAGCGGCAGTAGGGGGGCTGCTTGGCGCGGCTGCTCTGGATGATGCGGGTGCAGGGGAAGCTGCGCGTGACCATCCAGGACTGGGCGTGCTGCCACGGGCTGCTGGCGTTGTAAGTGAGCCGGAAGAAGGTAGATAAGGCGTCGCACGTAGCGCGCTGGCAGGCCAGTGTGCAGACGCCGCCGACAATGCCTGGGCACGTCGGCGGCGGCGGCACCTTCTGCAGCGCATCAGGCGCGTCCTCTTGGTCGCCCGTCGCACCGCATGCCGGCGCCGCTGCGGGCGGGCAGTCGGGCGGAGGGGACGGCAGCGGCGCCGGCGTGGCGTGCCGTTGTGACCACCTGCACCAAGAGCGCCCCCTCGGCCCAAAAGAGGCAGCAGCGTACGCGTCCCAGGCTGGATGAGGGATGAGCTTGCGTCTCCCACCACTACTTCGCATTCGAAAATCGCCCCGTATGTTGTCCTCATCCAACTCACCATTTAGCAGCACCAGCAGCGTCGCGGTGGCCACCGCAAGCCTCACCGCGCCCAAAGGCCTCTTGATTGCCATTCCCTCCCTTGAACTTTTATGCAACCATCTGATCCATAACGTGCTCCACCCTCTGGCGTTCACCTACAGGGCGTAAAATCTCCAGGCCAGCTAGTGAAGGTGATACAAAGCGCCTCCGTATTTGTGAAGGAGCATTCGGCACCAGGCGGAGGGCATCATGTAGGTGGGTGCATGCAGCACGCCGCGCAACGTTGCCGACAGCATGATCGGGGTGACTGCTCGGTGACGACGGCTGTGTCAAGATTGGTGGTTGCATGTCGGTTTTACTGCGCGGGTGAGGTTGCACAGGCGCATAATACTGCAGCGTGGTTACTCTTGTTGCTGCAACTCCTCTGACGATCGCATGGGATCAACACTCAGTCGACACCACAAGCAGCAGTGCCGCGCTTCACGGCGGGGCGGATGGTCTGGCGCCGGGCAGCGCGCCGCATCAGTTAGCAAGGGGAGCCGTCAGCTCCCCTGCGGATCATTGATACCCGGGGAGCAGACATGTGGCGAGCCCATACAAGGCTTAGTTGCTCCCAAGACGGGGCTCTCCCAATCGAAACGTGGCTGCAAAAACACGCCAAGCCGGACCCCTCAGACGCGCCCCTGACGGAGCAATGTGTACATCAACGGTTTTTCAATCTGGGGGTCATCGGGCGGCGCTGGTGCCGCCAAGAAGCAGCGCCGCAGGCGCAGCGCGGCGCTGCGAGGTCGCGGGGCCGCCGCCGCACGGCGGGGTCGCAGGGGCACGCGCCAAGGGGGCGCTGCCGGCGCTGCGCCGCCCCGAGCGGCGCGGGGTCGTCGCTGCGCGGCGAAGGCCGGAGGTGGAAGGGGTGATGCAAGTAGGCGGGCCGGCGGGAGTGTGCGGGAGTGTGTGAAGAGCGAGTGACAAGGTTTGGCGGTGGGTCATGGGCGTGCCGCAGCCGGCAGCGGCGGGAGCAGCTTGCCGGCAAGCCCCACAGCCCTGAGGAGAAACCCCACGCGCACCGGCGCGCGCGGGGGCATGTCACTTATCAACGTCAGTGCGGGTGCGCGGTGTTGGGGAGCCGCGGGGACGCGGTCGTGAGCCGTCCGGCTGGCTGGACTTGCGGTGCGGTGCGGTGCGTTGGGGCGGGCGGCTGTTTGCTGGGGCGGGGCCGTTTGGGTACATCAGCGGACGAGTGGCGCAGGCGCGTTGGGACCAGCTATCTAGGATGCCAGTGGGAAGAGCGCGTCGGTCCCTGCGTCACCGCATGCGGGGGCGCCGCGGCGCCTTCAGGCTCTGCGGAGGCCGGCGTGCCCGCCGGCGAGAGCCCCACAGGACATGGGTTGGATGGTGCAAAAGGCGGCGGCCCCCTGACTGGACCGCAGCCAAGGGGGCCGCAGCCGAGGGTTTTAGGGTTTAGGGGTCTGCGCTGGGCGTGGGAACGCGGCACAGCCGGGGGCACCGCAAAAAGCTCCAGGCGCAGCCGCACAAGGCGGGAGCGAAGGGCGGCGGGCGCGACCCAGGGGCCAGAGCCTGTCGGCGAGGCTCGCCGTGCGGGCCAGGTGCGGCGGGGCGGCGCGGGGCGGCCCGGCGTCACTGCAGCGACCCCGAAGAGTACCGCTGCACAGAGAACGAATGCATCCGCACCGCCGCCGCCGGCGCCAGCCCATCGCCCTCAAAGAGCCGCCGCCGCGCGAGCTCCTGAGACAGCCACGCCGCGTAGCCGCCGCCGCCGCCAGCGCCGGCGGCGGTGCTGGCTAGGAACGCGTCCCTGAGGCCCGGAAGTATCTCTGGCAGCGACGCCGCGGCGGCGTCGGCGGCGCCCGAGCGGTCGGCTATCCGCCGCCCCTTGCCCCTCGCCTCCTCTTGGGGCAGGTACGCGTGGCGCGCCGCGAGCGGCGCGGTGGTCACTGAGACCATGTCTAGTGCGTCGCTGCCCTTGAACACGTACGTGCCCAGGTGCAGCGCGCGCACGGCCACGCTGTGGCGCGGGAGGGCGGCTGCGGGGCGGCGGCACGGGGAGTGGGGGAGGCGGGGGAGGGGACTGTGGGTCGCGTCGCGGCGGAGAGGGGCAGACAGGGCAGGGCGCCAGCCCCCGCAGCGCCCTCGTTCGGCTGGCTAAGATGTGGATGGAGAGCATTGACAAGGGCGACCCCAGCCCCGAGCGAGGATGGCACCCACCGGCCTCGTCTTCAAACGTCGTCGGCCGCGCGGGCCGCGGCCGCGGTGACCCCGACGCGTCCGACGCGCCCGCCGCGCCGCCGCCGCCGCTGCTGCCGCGCCGCGCGCCGCTGCCTAGCCGCCCTAGCGACGCAGCATAGCCATAGCCGTAGCCATGGCCGTAGACGACAGGGGCCCTGAGTTGGTAGGGCACCCCAAAGCGCCCGTACCGTGCGCGGCTGATGAGCTCGGTGCCTGAAAGCGTGCGCGACGGTCCGGGAATTCCCAGAACGTCGTCGTCGTCGCAGTCCAGGGAGTCCGCGGAGGACTGCTGCCGCGACGGCGCGCCCGCCCACCAC